TCCCCATCCATCGACCCTCTCCCCACCATGTCGGCGATTCGCGTGCGTGCTTGGTTGCGTACGTGCGCGTACTAGGGCGCACGCGTGCTCGCCAGGCCGCGTGCTTAAGCGAGTCGAGCGCTCGCGCGTACAGGCGCGTGGACCTACTACGCCTGCGCTCGTGTACGTGCGCGCGCGCGCGAGCGCGTGGAACAGGTATATGCCTCTCTTCCTTTTTTTCCATTTTTCACAGCCGCTCTCCGTCTTTTTTTTTCTCCTCCTCTCTCTCTCACTCACTCTCTCTTTCTGGCTTTCTGCTTATCTTTCTCTTTCCCCGACTATCTTCCTCTGTGAAAAAGCGCCGCGCTCGAGGGCCACTAGACGCTCCCTGATAAATATACGACGGCTGACGGTGGATTTCGAGCGATAGAAGACGCTCCCTGGATTTTGATTAATTTCGTGGGTAGCAACAAATAGAGATAACCGCGCGACGCTGCTTCGACCACTGCGCGTGAAATGCCTCGATAATTGAATTACGGGTACTCGTTGCTTTCTTTTAGTGGCTTTAGAATTTAGGTGGTTGAGTGTTAGGAGCTTTAAGGCGAGGAAGATTTATTAATCTCTTGCCCTATGATTTATTTCTCAATTGCGATCGATACAACTTTGTCGTTAATAATTTATTAGGAAAAGAGAAAAATTCGGTGCATATTCTATGTCCACATTTGCTCTAAAATATAATAATTGATAGCGAAAATAATATTTCATTTGAATTCATAAGAATCGAGTAACATGTATGTTTGTTAAAGTCTCTTTAAAATCTTCACCGTGAGTCTTACACGTTATTGTAAGGCAAGGGGTTAATAAAGATATGTGTTTAAATGTAATGTTTTTATAGTGTCAGGCTGATTTGAATTTTTCTAGTCAATGGATTTTCTATAGTAACATTCGCTAATGACAGTACCATTTTCTTGTTTACGAGGAAAAGTGATATCACAGGAAGGAGGGAGTATTGGAAGTTCATTGGATGGGAAAATTCAGGTAATTAGGAAGTTGATTGATATTGGATCGTTATTGCATGGAAGGTGAAGAAAGTGATGAGGAATGTTTTTTACGACTCTGATTCAAGGTAACTAATGGTAACTTTGAAAATTTTCTTTCTAACATGGTAACATTATAGGTAAAAAGTACATAAGGCAATAATAATCAAATTTTTGTACAAATGGTTTTTTTTAACAAATTTGTTCAATAACACAAATATACGTACCCTTTGAAATTATTCCAAAATTATCCACGTATTTTTCTTGCAGAACCTAAGATTATATGAAATCAAGATTTTTCAACTTACCTACTCTATAATAATATTGTTACTTCATGTTGTTCACCTGATGAGCCCTGAAAGGAATGTAGGTCTTATTGGTCAACTTTCATCTTTTCTCATCTAATTTTCAATACTAATTTGCTGTTCGACAATACAGTTACACGTAACCAATCAAAACCATAAACAAAATCCTTAGTGAGAGATTCCTCTTGCCCCTGTGCCGTCCCGGGGCTCATCTCGTGAACAACGTGGAGTATCCTATTGTACGGTTAAGCTTTCGTGTTTTTTCTTTCTATTTGTAAGTACGAGTACCTACCCACGTTAAGTAAACCGAACAGTATAATTACATGGGAGAGGATGAATAGGTACTTAGTAATCTAACATATTAATTCTTCAATTGATCGCACATTACTTCTGGTATCTCGCCTGGATGATTAATAATTATCTTGTTTCAAACTAAAAAAATGAATAAATGAAAGCCTTATTCTCTGAACGATTAGTATATGGTATAGAAACTTCATAGAACAAAACAGAAATGGGAAACTTCTTAAATGACCGTTTAAAAGTTAATATCAATAAATTGAATGCACATGGTGCAAGTTCGAGAAAATTAATGTACAACATTGCCATTCACTCAGTGTAATATTTTTGCAAGTGAACACTTCATTCTTCCAAGGTAAAGCATAAAAAATGAAAATCTAGGGAGATAGGCAAATACAATATAAATTATGTGATGTATCATTAAATTATTCAATATGAAAGTGATATGAAAGTAATACAAGTGTATAAAATTCGATGCAGTGACGAATATGATAACTTCATGCGAAATTACGAAGAACAGAAGAAAGTTTTGTTTCAAGTTGTTCCTAAGGGTCAATTGCCCTCACTCAGGTAGTTTACCCTGTCTGTTTCCTTCTTCGGATCAATATTCCTTGCTCAAGGATCGTAACCGCGCAGAATACCCTCAAAGATTTACAGGTCTACCTCCCATTCTTCGTTCATGCGAATTCTCGCTGCGTGACAAATTTTCAACCGCAAAGTTGCAGGTACCGACAGTTATTATCGTTCGTAGAGCTTCTCTCGGTACGACAACCTGTTCGAAAGGACATAACGCCCCTGAACCACTCGCAATCCCGTTATACCTACTAATTTCTGTCTGTGACCAACATGGAAGCCTCGGTATACACATCCCTGTAATTCCATGAATTTTAGTGGGCGGCCGTTGCAATTTATTTTTAGATTGCTATTTCACCTATCCCTTGATTCACGCGGACTTTTTTCACGCGAGTCTCTTTTTTACGCGGTAAATTGGAACACTATTTACGTGGTAGTTTTAACGCGCAATCTCAATTTACGCGATCTGAATTTAGTAACAGCGAATAAAATATACTTTTGTTTTCTAAAATGTCATTATTAGTATTTCTTTTGTTAAGCTATGCGAAATAAATATGTATTTCTAAAACTTATACCGGCTTTTCTCTTCAATATTTTGTTTTCTCTTGTACCGACAGGCTCTATTTATGCGATTTTCCTAAAACGAACCCACGTGGAACGGATTTTCGCGTAAATCGAGGGTCAGGTGTATTTTTCATTTAGTAGTGGTTTTACGAATCTTAATTGTACACATTATTGTACTGTCTCCAAGAAATAGTTATAGAAATGTTATAGAAATAGTTATGAAAATAGTTATAGAAAAATGG